GTGTCATTTTTAAAGTAACTGAATTATTACAAGCATTAATTTTTAATAAATAACTCAACCCTTACAAAACCAAAACAATAGTGATCCCAAACATTAATCAGGTTTAAACCTCTAATTGTATTCCTCGTCTGTATAACATTAATAATGTTTATGGTTAAATGTACAAAGCAAGTGTTTTGATGACCTGATGATTCCACGAAAAGGAGAACTCTTGAAACTGTTGGTTTAGTGCCTCACAAACCTTGGCAAACCCAGGGGAGACCAACTTGCTACAATGTTATGGGGATTTGACCTACAGTACCTATTTTAAACCCACGTGTCTGTCAATCTTACAAATTTGATCCTTAAAACCAGAAGTTTTTCTTTATCTAAGTGCTGCCTTTCTTTTCTGTCTGTGCTCTCAGAAGGTCTTGCAGTGATTGGCTGTGCTATGGCGTCTCATTTACATAAACACATATGAAACTGGGCGAGACAGAATCCTGGAGGAGGGTTTAGACAGCAGAGAGGAACCAATGAGTGAGAACGGTTAGTTCTGTGTGAGAAGACCTGCTGTGGTTGACCCTCAATCAAACCCCTTAAAGACTATACTTTCAGGATCATTTCTTATAGTTTCTGACTTGAGAAATGTGATTTCTTAAAGTGTTTCGGTCCTCGCTAACCCACGATTGATGAGTCGTGATATTTCTTTCTGAGCGGTGAAAGCCTGAACAGAGAATCAAGATTCATTTCATTATTGTTTTTCTGTCATTGAATGACGTCATGTAGCTCACACTTGAGACAGCTGGAGGCTACATCCATGGAAGGCTTGAAACTTGGGTTGGTATTATTTGGGAGTCCAAGGAGTAGGTGTTGGTTTGATATGTTGATATATTAATGTTTTAGATCTCATAGGGACCTCTCATGAGTAGAAACAATCTTATTCATAGGATAACATTATATAAATCCCAAAGCAAGATCTTTTCTAGTTTTTATGCACCTGTCTATGTTGATATAAAAGTTTGTTTTTTACAATCACAAGGGCCATGATAATTTTCTAGGACACTAATTCGCCAGGGTCCGTAATCTCAGGTCATGAAGTACATATTGTAAGAAACATGTGTTACAAGGAACAAACAAGGACAAGCTGGGCTGTTATTATATAAAGAGCTGGTTTCATGCGGTCAAGAGCTCATGCCTGTGAGTTTAGAGTTATCTGACTGTTAATTTGTGGCATAGCATTCAAATGGAATAACGGTCTGACAATTTAAATGGCCAGTTGCTTCATAAGCTGACGCTGTAGCCCATCGGACTGCTGCACTTCATAACGAAGACAAGTATGCTGGGAACTCACTGTTCACAGGGCATATTATCCAAACAAAAACCAAATGATGCACTACATGGTTGTCAGATGGGCTCCTGATCGCTACAGCAGGAGTGTACGTAACCATTTCTAGCAACATTAGTCAAAAGAATGAAATAAATGGTGTACCAACCAAATCTGTATCCAACAAAGGTGTACTATCTTCTTACCTATCAGCAAAATGGTTAATAGTAACAGGCCCCAACATCGCGTCACATGCCATGTGCAATACTATTACCTCTTGGTATGCACAATAACAGTTCGGTGTATATGTGGTCTCACCCAGGTATAGTGACACTCACACGCACCTGGCATCCACAAGATATTAATATTTGTAAAAGAAATAACGTATATAGTATACAAGGCAGTATATAGTAATATCTCACCTCTCTCTCCCTCCGCTACCGTGGTATACCAGAGTCTTGCTGCCTTATTCTCGCCGGTAGACTCTTCTATATGTAGGTAAGCATATTCTAGCAGTTGGACATAAGGGAGTCTCATGCGGACCGACTGAGCCTGTCATCTCTGTTTCTATCGTAGATACATAGACAAGGTCATCCTTCATTACTAATGCTCTTGTGCATGAATTAGCTATGCACATAACAATACCTAGATAGTATAGCCCTATTTACGTTTACTGAACAAACTTTTCTATCAGAACGTAGCGCATTTGTATTCAGCTAGTATTGGATGTGCTGTACTCGCTCAGTATAGCTCGGTTTCTGGGGCTTGGATTAGACCCACAACGGTCCAGCCTCACTACCCAGCGAGCATCAAGAAGCCTTGACCACTCATGACCCTGTTCTTGGTTCACCACTTTCCTTCCCTGGACACTTTTGACTAGGTACTGACCTTTCTGCAGACCGAACATCCCAACAAGAGCTGCAGGTTGGAGGGATGCTCTGACACAGTCGTCTAGCCATCATCAGTTTGGCCCTTGTCAAGTCGCTCAGATCCTTCACGCTGCCATTTTCCTGCTCTTCTAACACATCAACTTGAGGACAAAATGTTCACTTGCTGCCTATCTATCCCACCCACTGACAGGAGCCATGGATAAACCATGTTGTGAATTCGCTCGGTGGTTGTGTGTAGTCATGCTGGGTGTGTGTTAAAATGAACACATCAGTAAAGGTGAGCGTTATGTGTTGATGAAAGAAGGACCACATTAAAAGCCATCAACTACGTTATTAATCATGTACAAATGTCCTATTTACAGAGCAATACAGGCAGATGGTCATACTAACAAAAGGGATTAGACAGCATTGTAATGAAATGATGAGTTGTTAATAATGGTCGTGAAAAACATGAGTTACAGTAGTTATAAGTGAAAAAATGCCTATGATGATGAGTTTATCACTTCCTGTGTTGATGAATAAATATGCTTGTTGTTGCATTCATCTACAAAATCATTTACTAAAATATCTATCTATCTGGAAGCTGGGGCCACAAAGTTAAGGCAAGAGACGTTAATAAGGTCTACAGGCTAGACGAACACAGTGGTGGAGGTGGTGGGGTGATTTGATTTGATTTGATTTGATATTATTGGATTGGAGTATGGGCATCAGTGTATGGGAGGCTGTGGAGGTTTTACAGAACTCGCTAACACCTGTGTATCCCAAATTATTATCTGTATTTATATGAATTCAGCTTTTGCTGGAAAAACAGGAATGTATTATGAGAATTTTCTTAATAACAAACAACAATGTATATGGATAAAAAAAATAAAAATAAAAAATATATATAAATTAATTAAATGACCAATGGTCTACTACAATAATATGATTTTAATAAAATATTCAATAAGTAGAGTCAGTTGTTTTTTGGAAGTTCAGAAAGGTCAGATTTACATGGAAAAGTAATCATCAAAACATATTTTTAAAAGACTGTTCCTTTTTGTTTTTTAATGGATCACATACAGTGTATTTAAATAAATCATTTTTTTGTTTAAGTTAGCTTTAAGGATTTTTTTAGCACGAAAACTACAAAAACAGGAAGTTGCGCTTGACGTTACGTGCGTGACGCAATACGTAAATAAGTTGATCAAGCTGCTGCTGCTTACTCGAAAGGTTGTTTTCTTCCTTTAGCTATACATATCTCTCGCGTTAGTAATACTAATGACAATGCTAAACTTACACCGAAACTCTCGGATATAAAACGGAATTGACATTCAGTCGGACACACGAGGATATGCCATCTGACTCTGTAACGTAACTACAAAGTACAAACCGAGTCTTTAGTTAGTCAGCTAACAGTTAGCAACACACATCTCCACACGGTGTGCTGGTCCTTCTCACTTTCTCTTCCATCTCGTCTTCGTCTGCCGTCGCCCTTTAGATCCTGTCGCCAAGTTCAGTCCGTGGTTTCGCCAGGAGAGGATGAACTGGCTTTTCCCCCTGTCCAAAGGCTCCGGACCTGTCCCCCCTCTGAACAGCCTACAGCAACAAAGACAGCGGCAGATCGAGTCCCTGAAAGCCGCTCATCCCAGGTACCGTGACCGGCCACCGGGACCCTGCTGCTGGCGATTAGCGCCTTAACACCGACGTTATGTTATTATGTTATTACTGTATTATGTGGTCAGTGTTTCCTGACACACTGACTGGCGTTAATTGACGCGTTGTTGTAGTTTACACCGTGCTGTCAATGCTTTACACTGGTGTTTACTTAGCTTAGCATAGCCACCTGGCTCACAGTTAAAGTCACAGGAAGTACGTTAAGATAAGAAATAGCCTATAGCCTCATTTTTCGCACACTTTTGTCCCCGCCATTCTGTAAATGTGTCCAAATGTCCCAAGACTTTAGGGTAAACCTCAAGCACAGCTCTGACGGTGTTGTCGATGAGCGGCTAATGTCTGCTAACCTTTCCTTCTAGCTAAGTTAGCTAACTAGCTAGACGTGATTTTCCAGGTCGCTGTGTTTGTTAGCTGTGTAGCTGATCAGTTCAGCTAGTGACAGTTCCAGTGTCTATTTTTAGGACTGATGACACAAGTTGTAGCTGGCCTGACCATGCCCTGTGATCATTCCAGTGTTTACCGATTTGTCACGCATGTAGTTGTAGGAAGCGCTAGCTAATTCGATGTAGAGATTAAAGTATTAGCCTTTGTTTACTTTACTGGAGGTGCACAGGTGCAGTGTGCTGTATGTATGCTGCTCATGGCGTGGAAAGTGAAAGGGAAATTCATACTGTTTAAAGGCCAGGGTTTGTTGATATGCAGCGTTCAACAGGCCTTATGAGACTTGCTGTATGTGTAGATGACTTGTTGTTAGGCCTACTGTGTAAGGCTTAAACATCCAATATTCATTTTGGGACCAATATCAACATAACTAGTTATTGAATGTGCTTTCAACTGCCATAAACTCTTCGAAGTGCAGTGAAACAGTATAGCATTACAGTTAATGCATACACTAATAGTAAGTAAATGTCACTGGTGAAACAGGCATGACTACTACTACTGTCTGTGCCCAGTGTTTATCTCAATATGTATTAGATATTAGATATTGTTAAATATATATATTGTTAAGTAAAAAGTTGTATTTGTAGTCACATTTAATACTAAGTACCACCTATAAAAAACCTATAAGTAGTGTAACACATTTTTAAATGCTATTTTTTGTTGTGCCATAACATTAACACATGTTTATTTCAGTTAAGGCTTTTACAAATTGTAATAAATCTGTGAGGAAATTGACGTATCAGAAAAAAATATATAAGAACAGCAACTTGCCAATCTACCATCAACACATTGCCTTTAGTCATGCCTGGAAAGTGTTCTGCTTCACTATATATCCTTAAAAAATGTACCCATCAGAAATTCCAATACATTGATATATTGTTTTGTTAAGAAGTAGAGTTATTGGGTGAGGATAGACATTAAAGGACTCTCTTTGTGAATGTATCACTCTCTCCGTTCTCGCAGAGTTTTAATAAGCATTGATAGAAGATAAATACTATGCTTTCTGAATGTGCTGATTGTGACTACAGATGCCAGATTAATGACATTCCTGTGTTACTGTTTCAGCCTTGCAGAGATCCAGAAGGATGTGGAATACAGAATACCATTCACAGTCAACAACTCCACCATTAATGTTAACATGTGAGTACATCTTTATGCATCCAGTCACAGTGTCAGAGTATCAAAAGCAGGCAGTGGGCTGAATTCACAGTCACTGGCGTGGCTGGAAATCTGACTTCAGTTAGAAAACAAGTCAAACACATGATACACTTGTAATTAAATTTGTTTTTGTTTTTCATAGCCAAAAAAATGGAATCGTAATTACACTGCTATTGTAGGTCATTAAAAGTTTTATTCCCTTGTATTATATTTTTGGTTTCAAACACACATATGGACATGCATTAATCACATTACAAGGATTTAAATATGTTTGATTAACAACTTAGAAATTGCAGTGGTAGTGTGGAGTCTTAGAAGAGGAGTCGACCCCAGCATTCGACCGATTTAAAATAATTCCAGAGGACTACTGACATTACACCAGAAACTACATATTTATTTGTCATCTTTTCACAAGGCAGCGAAGAAAACAAGAAAAGCTAGAAAAGGCACCTTGCAACTAAATCAACATAGCTCACTGGCTTTACACAGCATAAATTAGTCAAATGTTGTATGCTCATGAGAGCTGTTAGTAAAAACCTTTACCACATTTTACCCTCCAGTGGTAACTCAGTTTTATCACTTGCTATGCTTCAGAGAAGATGGGGCTACTAGAGACAAATAAATACTACACCACCAAAATAACTTTGTACAGTATTAATATTTATCACATCTTTTATATCTTATTACATATCCTGTTGCTGAAATTCCTGATAAATGAACTTATCATACTTTTTCTATTCTCTTTCCTCTAGTCTGCTGCCTCCTCAGTTCCCGCAGGAGAAGCCGGTGGTTAGTGTCTACCCCCCTGTTGGTCATCATTTAGTCGACAGCAATAATGGCACCATGATCACTAGCCCCCTCATCACTAATGTAAGTAGTTGTCTATGTTTTCTTCAAAGAATGTTGAAGGGGATTTTTCCAGATCTGCGATATGAAACATTAAAGAATACCACCATCAGCGTGGTGTGTGCTAATGTGCATATACTAAAACAGGGGTCTGTTTTTTCCTCTTGTGTTGTCACATAGTCGATAGTAGCACTATGATTGTAACGCACTTAAAACAATGGTAGAAGTGGGCTGAAATTATTTTGACCTCTGACCCTCATAGTCTTTCTTGCTGTGCTTTTACCCTGTTGGTATCAGTAACCTTATTTCATGGTGCCCTCATTTGTTAATAGAGACCCAGAAAATAAAACCCAGCACAGGCACATTATTGCTGTTGCAGCTGTATGGTTGGATGAAAGGAACGGTCATTACCCATAGCTGTAATCAAGATAATCAAATCTCACATCTGACTAAAAGTGAAACTGAATTGAGTAAGTCAAAGTAAGGAGAGGGGGTTTCCACAGCCCAACAGTAGGTTTTGCAGGAGTAAAGCATATGTGTGCTCTCTCAGTACAGAGCCCTGTCCTCTCACTGCATCCTCAGTCCAAATGCTCTGTTTGACCTGGAAAAATAAGTTCAGGATATGATGTTAACATGAAACACTGAGTTCATTTTATCATCTCTTGTATTTATCATTCCATCATTATACAGTTTATACTGTATACAGTATTGTCATCTCTGTCTGTCAGGCATTTTGTTTGACCCCTCGAAATCCCAGCCACTGTCTCTAATTTCTTTACCAAAACCTGAATAAAGTCGATTTACATGCACAAAACATAAACAGCATACTCATAAAACCGGATGATAACAGTCATACTACTGTGCATGTAAACATATTCATAAGATGTGTCGCACAAGTTCAAAGCAGAGATAAAAAGGAAAATCTGATTACTGTCCAGATGGATGTAAACATGGGGTTTTCCAGTAATCAAGTAAATGCCTTGTCCTGATTCCTCCCAATAAGCTGGTTTCTCGTGTTCATGCAAACGTGTAGGTCAACTGTAGCAACATGAACAACTTCTTTCCTATTTAGTTTAACTTCTTTTGTTAGTTCATGCTGCTGTTTTATATACTTAAAGGCTCATGTTACATCGTGTATGTTGTAGTTTGGGATGCACTCAGATCTGGGAAAGGTCATTCAGAGTCTCCTGGACGAGTTCTGGAAGAGTCCTCCTGCCTTGATGTCCAGTGGCGCTGCTGGCTTCCCATAGTGAGTGTTCTCTTACATTGTGAACATTTGTCTCTCAGCACCAGCGTGTATAAAATGATTTTCTCTTAAATATACATTTGATATGTTTGTTATCCTTTAGTGAAATAATATTATTCCCTCCCATGTTTAACACAGCGGTATGTACAAGCCGTCAGGAATCGCTCCTTACCCCTCTCAGGCTTTCCACTATGGTGCTCGCCACATGGGCCCCAGTCACACGGCGCCTGCTGGTCCAGGCCCAGCTCCGTCTCCAGCTCCCATGCCGCACCCAGGGGTCGATAGTGCCCATGGGCCCCCTCGAGCTCCAGCCCCATATGGACTGATTTCTGACCTGCCACTGCCTGTTCCTACTGGAGACTCACAGGTACACTGATAATGGATACTGCACACAAGTAGGATAGTTACACACAGAGGACCATGATATGAGCTGTAAGTTTTTAAAGAAGTGAAGTAAATATATACCGTAATATCCGGACTATAAGCCGCTACTTTTTTCACGCCCTATATATGTACACATTTTTTTCTTTTCAAATTTAGTTGCTGCGGCTTATATTCAGGTGCGCTCAATAGTCCGGAAATGACGGTACATGAAGTATTAGCTTGTAAACTGCTTGTCACGAATTAACCCAGTGGAGTTTTCACCAGCTGTGGTGCTTTAAAAGAAACTGTCAAATGAACCATTTACAGTTTGCAAACTATCAGGCTCACAAACAGATATAAAATTTCAAAAGCAGTAGAGCAACAATGTCTCAGACACTGACACTCTGATCATTCAGGAAGGAAAGAGGCTGGTTTTCAGTTGAAGATATCGTTGCCTGTAACTGATTGATTGGGTTCAGATAAATCTTGACATAGAGAATAGAAGAATGTGACTTGCTCATAATACTGCTGTCTGTTTCAGGCTGGACTGAATGGACACATGTACAAGATGCCTGAGATTCCCGAGTCTTTTCCTGAACTCTGTGACATGAAGTAAAGTATTCCAAAATATCATCTTAATTTATCTTTTATTATCAATCCAGTGTTTACGCAGGTTATACATGTATGTTTTCGATAAGAACACATTCTTTTGTACCCATAATTAATGCCTTTGTACTCTTGTTCTCTTACCTCCTGCTGTACATCTGCCTACATCCACCACCTTCTGCTGTGCCCCTTCCTAGTCTGACCCAGTTGTCAGAAATGTCTGAAAATGAGGATGTCTTACTGGAGTTCTTTGTGAGTTTGCCACAGCTCAAACAGGTCACCAGTGATAAAGAAGAGCTTGTCACCAATATAGTGGACATGGCTAGTAAGTTCCTCTTCTTCTGCCCCTGGACTGAAGGTCTTGATTGGTCAATCATGAAGGAGAACTTTAAATTTAGTTAATGTTTGTCATTTACAGAGAAAAACCTTCAAATGGAGCCACAGCTGGAAGGAAAAAGACAAGAAATGCTCTATAAGGTCAGATATTGCATCTGATCTTTTGTTCTCTCTCTCTCAAACACATTCATGCAATTGTCTAGCAGCTTATGATGCGTGTTTCTGTCTGTTGACAGTACGAACAGCTGACTCAGATGAAGTCGGCCTTTGAGACGAGGATGCAGAGACAGCATGAACTCAGTGAGGTAAGAGGCTCCTCGCACTGATTTGATTGATAATAGGTTTTGAGTGCAGATGCATTTTCTGGGTTACGTCCTGGTTTTGGGTTTTATTTTTACCATTTTAATGACTCAAAACTGAACATTTAGGTTGTTCTTTGAATTGTAAAAGCCCAAACAAATCTAGTTTTAGTCCTTTTAAGAGTACATGAATGAAAAGCTGAAGATAGGCTTCAGTCCAATCCTGAACTAGCGACCATGTGTCTCCTACTATGCGTAAGTTTTGAGACTCCCTTTCTGTTGTTAGATGGGATTATGCCCTTCATGCCAGTTAACCATACTACCGTTGAAGAAGAAAAAAAAAAAGAAACTAAAGGAGAAAATATTGAAGAAACCAACCCAAACATGCTTGAACATGTCTTTCAACACTGCTAAGCATTTCTGTCCCTGTTTTTTTACTTTTTGTTGTTTTGTCCCCCACCAGAGTTGCAGCCTTAGTACTCTACAGGCTCGGTTAAAAGTTGCAGCCCACCAGGCTGAAGAGGAGTCTGAGGAGACGGCTGAAAACTTTCTGGAGGGACGCACAGACATCGACGAATTCCTGAGCAGCTTCATGGAGAAGAGAACGGTGAGAAACCAGAAGTGTCTTTTTTTTAGTCTGAATGTAATCAGAAGTGCAGTATGTGATATTTTAACTGTTTGTGTGTTATTCTACAGCTTTGCCACAGCAGAAGGGCCAAAGAGGAAAAGTTGCAACAGTCCATCAACACACATGGACCGTTTCCTACCAGCCACTAGAACACAAGGTACACCACACACATCACCAGATTACAGTCACTAAACATAATAAACTGTAACACCCAGACAGTCATTTGTCTCTTTGCGGAGGGAAGCTGGTGGTTCTCAGCTGACTGTTTCACAACAGGCATCCCTTGTGGTTTTTGTTAACAAACCAAACCTCCTTTCATTTTTATCAGAGAAAAACAGTTTGTCACGGTCATCTGTTTCTGTTCTGCTTATTACGTCTTCCTTTTGGTCCTCAGGTTTGCTGTTTTCTCAGCCAACTGCTGCCAATTAAAAAGAATAAAGACATTTGAGGGGATGAAAAGCACACTGAGTCAACAATGGGCACTTTGGAGAAATAGGAAGACGCTGACAGCAATGGTAATGGTGGGTTTAAAAAAAAAAAAGCCCACTGGCCCAGATCTGCGCTAAATAAAACAGTTGAAGTTGGATGGAAAAGCTGTCGAGTCACCACAAGAGGCCAAAACTGGGAGAATGAGTGACACATGCCTAGCTTGCACATGCTGTTTGTTCTGTTCTGTTTTGACTTGACAGTGATGACAAAGAGTTTTGTTTGACATCGCTCAATAACAGCAGCACCTGCATCCGATCAGTGTGGTTGGTGATGTGAACACATTTGGAAGAAAGTACAAATTGTTTAGGACAGTATTCCCAATCTTACTTTACCATGCAGTAAGCAAGTAAATGTCACTATGAAATAATTGTTAAAATGCTAATCTTGGTGTCTGTACTTCACGTTTTTGAGATCATTATCAAGTCCTTGCTTTGTAATCGTATAAGATCCCAGTCTTACTGGAGAGACAGACAGAGCTACTTTCACACTGCAGATCTCCTGTTTACATTGGAAGGTTGTTCTAGAAATTTACATGACACTCAGCACTGGCATTGTCACTTTAACAAGTCAAGAGAAGCTCTCCAACAAAAACGAAGCTGAGGACGGGGCAGTGTTAAAATCTGACTTTGGACAGTGGTTGGTCCTTTATTAAGTTATGGGTTACCTCTTTGTATGTCTTGAACACAACCTCAATATCAGTGTGTTTGCACAAACATTAATAATTCGATTATACTTGACAACACAATCATCTGATTCTCATTACATTGTTAACACCATAAGCGAGTACTGTACTGCATAATCAGAGTCGACGTAATCCAAATAACAAACCTGGTTACTGGTCAGTTCTTTTGAATATCTGTATTAGGTTTGTGGACGTCTAGTAACAAGTTTCCTGGAGATTGACACAAAGTATTCAGACAATGACCAGTTTAACAAACCAGTGATGTAAACTGAGGTAACATCAGAGTACTGTAAACCACATAAACAGTAACAAATTATTACCTTTACCCTGTGCTTTTTACACGAATCGAGTTATTTGTGTACATGTAAACATACTGATCACAGTGAGCAACATTATGATAACCTAATAACATTTTCTGGCCCCATTTGAATATTAAACTTTTGATGAAGAGCCTCAGAAGGTTTGGGACAATGTTGGGGAATATTAGGTTAAATGCTGCAGTAAAACTCGATGACATTGGATACTGTATTTAAATAATGTTAATAATAGGCTATATTGTAATCAAAGACTCAGACACACCTTGTATTATATGTTCTTATTTAATTTGTTAGAGTAATAAAGCATTTAGAATAATCTTGTTTGCTTTACTTGCTGTAACTCTGGATGCATTCTTCATTATAACACACTTCACAGCCCGTTCTCATTCCCAGGTCGTCAAATACCGACACGAGCAGTGTTCAGTTGCTGCTAGATTCTACTAAATCCTGCACACTGAACCAACAAATAGAGGATGTATTGTTGCCTCGAGTTACACCGTTTCTCAGCATCAATAGTCACTTTTAAAAAAGTGAATTTACATAGATTACAATGTTAAAGTAATATTCAGTTGAGTTAATAAACAGTTTAGTATTACACTGCAATGAACAGGTGGCTCCATGAATAGTTAAAAGTTTAAACATATAGTAAAGTGAATATAATTTACTATGCCTCTAATAGGAGTGCCCAAGTATCTGCTGTAAATCCATTCAGTCTATTCAACACAAACTTCTGTGAGGTGTAATAGAGGCAGGAGGTGTAGAAGCACACATGCACACAGGGCTGATGGGAAAATACTCATACAGGCTCTTTTCACACGGCATATTCTTGCCCCGCTAAGTGCAGGTTGGAAAGCCCTCTACTCAGCAGGTTGTATTGTGGTTAAAACAAAAAAAAAAGCCAACATAACACCACAGACGCCACTAAGCTTGAACTCATCAACCCAACTAACAACTGGATGCTAAACAGCATTACTGCAAGATAGTGAGTTAACAAAACATTATCTCTATATAAAAGTGTTAACGCTTTATCAAGAGCCCCACAATTCATATCACCACTCCTCATTTACATCCACCCATCTCTCTTTTGTGTGTTCCAGCCTTGGTTGGAGCATTGTGACTAAAGCAGCAGATCCTCAGGTTTAATGATGTGAGCTTTACATTGCTATGACAGTAAGCATTAGTGAAGTGACACTCAGTCCCAGTGTGTTGTTCAGTGTTTGGAGAGGAGTTGTTTTCATAGTGCGGCATGGCGCACACGGGATCTCCCCTCCGGAGCAGCAGGTGGCGGTAATTCACCACAAGAGCTACAGCTACCGGAAACAGACAGGGAGGAAGAGGACGCATAAGGAGGAAGAGGAGGAAAACAACACCGGAGGCGCGCACTGGCGGAGAGGAGCTGGTAAGTTTTTACACAACTTATTTAAAACGGGAGAAGCTCGTTTCCATCAATTATTCAACTTTGACTAAACCGCAAAGAGGTCGACCGTTAACCGTTGGCGCAGGTTACCAGGCAACGGTTGGCTGCGTCAACGTGAGCTAAGTTATCGATATACAAAGTGAACACATTTAACCTAAGTTAAGTTGTCCACTGATGTAAGTTAGTTTAAAAAAAAAAAAATCATTTGTGTTGTGTTTGGTGGTTAACTTTAGGGCCCGTGTCTGCAGCTGTGTGCAGTGAGTAACGATGTGATTGCTGGGGTTTAACAGTGCTTTTACTTTATATATTGTAGGTTGGAGACTGTAGAAGCGCCTGTGGCTCTGTGTCTGTGTGTGTGTGTGTGTGTGTGTGGATCAGTCCAGAAACATGTCACGACAGATGGGAGACAGCCATCGAAGGTTTCTGCAGACCATGATGGCAAATGGCATCGTTGATGAACAAGGGGCAAAGTCACTGTACCAGTACTGTTGTGAAACCCACCACAGTGAGTCATTTTATGTTCGTTACTGATGTTATTATTAATCCAGATGACTCAAGAGTTTATCAGGAGACAGGGTTCATATAGCAAGAGGAGAATTATGGCTCTAAACAAAGGTATTTTGATTATTTTCACCTTTTGAAGTTCAGATGAATGTTTCCATTGCTTTTCACATTAACACAACTTCAATATTGGGAATAATTAAGCTTTTAGGCCAATAATTTGCTTTACAATGCATTCCAAAAATGTTAAATTAGACAGAAAGAGAAATCTCCATAATAAAGGATTTTCAAACATGGATTGAAAAGCAGAAATCACAGGCATTGGATTCAGATCATTTCCAATAACTATACTTTCTTTGTCTTTTCTTGCAGCACAGCACGCCCCTGACAAACTGGATGATTTCATTGACACCATCAACTCAAAGCTGCAGCCCATGTTCATGCAGATAAGAAAAGGGATGTCTGAAGACACTGGTCACCAGTACTATGCCTTGGTTAGTCACTTATGACTCTGAATACAAGCTTCTTTTGAGACAGAGTTGTGCTTCATGTCCCTATAACTGTGTACTGTCAGCACAAAGGTCCTGGTCCTGTGGCACTTGCTACCTTTCACGCTCCAACCAAACATCTTGTGACTCTGAGATAGTCACTAATGAGGTTTTCCCTCATTAGCTTAGCTTGTATTCAGAGTCATAAGTCCAACATTTACAAAGACTCAACTAAATCAAAGAAAACGAATAATGGTCTTTTTATCATACAGTATTTGACCAGTTAAATTTCTTTTAAATCTAAAAATACGTATCAAAGTCTGTGGTTGTTAAGCTCATAATTTTTACACAAATAGCTGCTGTATTTTGGCTGTTGGCTCTGTTTGAGAACCACATTATGTTGTGATGAGTGAGTGTGATAAAATAGTTGCAAATTGATAAACAGATTGATAAACCTGTAATGTCTGAAGAAAATTCAGCCACTTGAAGACATTGTTAACTGCTGTTTCACTTTAATCCTGTCCAGGTAAACATGGCTGAGACTGACGTCACCAGGATGTCATCAGATTATTCCGACAACGAGCTGGAGCTGTTCGTGAAAACAGTGAGTTAATTTCACTGCAGGAAGTCCTGCAAAGCAACATTTATAACAGCATAGCTATTGCACATTTTCTGTTTTCTACAAAACTTGACGAAAGCCATGTACATTGTAATGCAATCCAGGACAAGAGTTTAATAATACAATAATACCTCTGTGTTTATATCAGACGACACATCGCACATGTCACCATTCTTTCACCACTCAATAAATAACTTAACTGTAAGAAGTAAAAGTAGCGAGCAGAAAGAGCTGCTGCTAGGACAACCTTCGGTCAGATGCACAAATTTACTACTATTAACATCCATAACATGCACCGGAGAGACAAGAAAGCAATTTTCTATTATATTTTATTTGAAAATAGCTATTTCTGGTAATGGGACATGTGTCAGCAGTAATCAGAGTGTACTTCTTGAAAACCTGCTTTTCCCCACTAGAAAGTGTGTCATGACTAACTGGAGCTGTTCTGATTCAGATGGACCTGATTGTGGGCTCTGAGAACGGTAAGGCCTCCTCCACTGACATTCTGAACAGCGCCGACAGCCTGACCTCCAAAAAGTTGAAGAAAAGTGAGACGGAGCACCTCTTGAACAGACTAGTGCATGACAAATGGCTGAATGAGGTAAAATACTTTCAAAACTGATGATTATCAACTTGTTAACTATGAATTGTCTAAATAAACCTTGCACAGTGCGTTGTGCACATTCACCTTTTAAGAGGTGCAGTGTAATAAAACCAATCACATTTAACAACAACAGTTCAATTGTGTATTTAATAGTGGATGAAAATAGAACTGAAGCGTGCAAATGTTTTGTGATTCATTGAGGGAAAAGTAAAAGTGTATGTAGCTTTCACAGATTTGTTTCTAAACACAGACTTTGCTGGTCAAATCATGGAGAAGTAAAACACGTCAACACGATCAATCATTCTGCATTAATCTAGAATACATTTTCAAAGCAATTCGAATCACAGTACCGGTTCTTGCCTCCACTTTGTTGCTTTATTTAGTGTGTAACTGATTTCTGTATATTGATTCAGAAACGGGGTGAATACACTTTGTCCATCAGATGTATCATTGAGATGGAGCCGTTCATCCGCACAATGTATCAGGACCAGGTCAAAGTGTGCCACATCTGTCACAACATAGCGTTCCAGGTAAATGTTAATATTTCTCTGTTGTGCATTTTCATTGTCTCCCTGTGATTAATAATTGAATGAAATCAGTTACAACCAGTTCTGTTATTTAGAAACTTTTGGGTACTAATTTCCTTAAATCACTATGTTAAATTAGAAATGTTGTGCCTCACTGATGCTGTTTTTTATTTGAAGGTACTACTATAGTACCAACTATAGTTACATGATTATATTCGTAATTCTTAATTATCCTTAGTTCTGTAATTGAAAGGCATACTATAAAAGTCTGAAATCAGATGTTTTGATTAAATAAATGATTTTTTAAATTGTATTGATTTAATGTGTTTCTGTGTCAGCTTCAGTTTTTGCTTCTGTGTCATGTTGAGTTGTTGCAGCCACATTTACTTTGAATTGACATTGGTTACCTTGGTAGATGGTGGATTTATTTCTATGTTCTCAATGATATTTCTCACTGTATTAATCTGATCTGATTTTTCAGTGTCAAATCTGCGAGAATCCCACATGTGGCATAAAAATACACAACCCATGTGTGGCCAGGTACTTTAAAGGAAGAGCAGAGCCGCGGTGTCCAGCATGTGATGACTTTTGGCCACATGAAATCCCTGGTATTTATTGTTTATTTACAGTAATTACAAATATGCATATTTACCCCTCATCCTAACAACATCTTTAACATACTGTAACTACTGACTGGGACCCCTGAGGACCCCAAGAATAAGCTACTGTAAGAAACAACTATTATTGTGAAATGTTAACTTATTTATCCTCAAAAACAGTTATTATTTTGGGAAAGTTGCAGTTCATTTGAAAAATGTTTAAAAGAAGCTAAACAACACATGAAGAAATCTGTGTCTGCTGCATCTGTTTCTTTTAAAATGACAGAGTGCCTCTACCCTGATACTTGTTTGACATTTATGGCACAAATGAACTTGAACATGAACTAAATAAATTGATACATCTATAAAAAAAAATGCATAGCTGGAATCGGGTGCTTTTGACTAGTGTCCTCCAGGACCCCATTACACTGGTATTTTTTAAAAAGGACAAAACAGAAAAAGATGATGTGAAGTCATGAGGAGCACATTGATATAAGAAAGGAAAATTGAAATGATAGAATAAAGCATCTGTGAGATATAACAGGAGGTATGCCTCTGGGGTGTGAGGGTAGCTCAGTCAGTAGAAAAAGGAAACATCTGACCGCTCTGGCTCAAATAAAGGTTAATGTTCTGGTTTTATACACCTGCTAAACAACTCTTTGTTGCCAGGATGTTTTGCTTTTCAAAAATCACATGTCGTCCTTTTTTTATATTCAGAGACTAATTCTGAATTTTGTGGTACAATAAACTGATTTACTGATTGAATCGTCTTAGCTGTTTATACAAGAAAAATGCATCAAAATAAACTGCTGTCTACCATTATAAATATGTTGCCTTTTGTATTCTATTTTTTCTTTGATCTTTAAAAACAGTATATCATCTTTGGATGTATTATTGAATATAATGAAAATGAATGGTAAGTGACTTGAACAAGAAAACACTGTTTGCTTGTATGTTTCATATCTTTTTTGTGTCCATTACAGAAGTCAGACGACCCCACTCTCAGTCCAGAAGATGAGGACTTCAGCATCAGATGTGTTTGTTTGTTTGAATTGTTCAGTATTTTTAACATAGCTTTGTGTTAATATAAATGTCTTTATAGTTATTTTTACAACAATAAATATGAATAAGTTTCTCTGAAATGTCTGTTTTCCAGATTGTTCCTTTCTAAATGCAGCATTGCTGCTGAATGCTCATGTTACCTTGATAATCCTGTTTTTAAATGGAATAGCGGACAACAATGACGATGACATACCAACTTAAGATAATGCTTTACATTTATATGTGAGGTAATGCAGTGCTCACTATCAGAGCTATTATCATTATTCTAGAGAAAGATAACAGTTTCAGTCTTTGCTGCTAAATTCCAAACTGTGTCTTGTATTCTCCTCTAATGACAATATTTGTCACAAAGTCCTCAACAACACAAGGAACAGGTCACCTGTCGAGAGCTTACCAGATCATTAAAAGTATACAGTTGCAGTATACTGACTGAAAGATTGTATGTATGCAAAAGTAAATCTTGTTTAGTAAAGTTATTATTACACCAGGGCTGCAACTAACTACTACTACTACTAACTAACTATTTTTATTTTCTTTGAATAGTCTAGTAACAAAATATGCTATCTGTTGTTATATGTCACTGTAATGCAAAACAAAGAACGGCAGACAATTCTCACATTTAAGAGGCTATTGCTTTATAAATGAGAATTATTAAACTAATCATACATACAGTCTGATTTTTGCTACACTATCACTATCTTGCCAGGTGAAAAAGGTGACTTTAAAGTATATTTGCCTGCGAGGAGTCCTGCTTTAGTATCTTCAGGGTCACAATGAACTTGATAGCTTTTCTGAACCACGGATAAAAAAAAGCATATATGAGTGGGTTCAAACAAGAATTAAAGTACAACAGCCAGGACACAATGGCCCACGACGAAGCATCGTTTGACATGTCCTGTCCTGCCAGAGAGGGGTAGTAATACGGACAGAAAGTCATCAAAAACACCATTATGACGATACCGAGAGTCCTGGCTGCTTTCTTCTCAGATTTCTTTGCAGTGACTGTAACCGTACCGGCTGCAACAACTGTAATATGAGACCGCATGGCACGAGCCTGAGACACCGCCACAATAAACACTCTCATGTACAGAACGAGGATGACCGAGCAGGGGCCGATAAACGTGAACACAAGGTCGACGGTTCCAGAGACGTAGTTAATCACCACCACACACTCCCCATAGCAGGAGTTGTGTCTGTCTGGCTGCCTGAGGTGGTCCTTTAAAATGAGCCCGTTGTAGAGAATCGAGCACGCCCAGCACAGACACACAGACACCTCGACTCTGCTGCGAGTGATTTTGTTGGGGTACTGCAGAGGATGACAAATAGCTACATAGCGGTCGATCGATATGAGCACCATGTTCCCCACAGAGGCCGAGGTGAGGGTGAAGCCGATAATGTAAGACAGACCGCACATGAGGTCGCCCAGCAGCCAGCAGGTTTCTATGAACCGCACCGTCTCCACTGGCATCACCAGCAGCCCCACGAGCAGGTCTGAGGTGGCCAGGGAGAGCAGGAGCAGGTTGGTGGGGGTGTGAAGCTGTCTGAAGTGGGAGATGGAGATGATGACCAGCAGGTTGAGAGCTACCGTGAGCACAGTGATGAAGGAGAGTAGTGTGTGAAGGAGGACGGCCTCAGAGGGAGGACGCATTAAACCCCTGCAGGATGAGTTTGGGAGCTGAGGGTAGCAGAGATCGGCTCCCTCCAGGCCGTCCATCATCCAGCACCAAAGGGAGGGGATGACCTGAACCTGCTGAGCTCCAGTAGCTCTCTGCTCGTACAAGACATAGTGCAGCTCACTTATCTCCTCCTCAACTCCCTAGTCATCCTCTTCATTGTCCGCCTATTCCTTATTTCTCCTCATCTCTGCTCTTCCTCACCGCTATCTTGCTTATTCCACCCTCCCTCCCCCCTTTCAATCCCACTGTTACATGATGCAACATGTTAGTTTCATGCAAGTGATGGGAAACTTTTCTCTGAACTGTAAATCTTTGGTAAAACTTTGTTGAAGTCACGTAAAAACCTCCTTGAAGCCTTGAGGGGATCAGTGTCTGCTATCTGGTCATCAACAGATATGAGCTATAGACAGAGACAGCATTGATTCACTTCATTGTAAGGACATATGACTCTCAGGCACCCATTTGAAACTGGTGTTGTGTGCAAAAGGATGTTATGTGAAAGCACAAAACCATTGTGGTAAAACCATTGCGCTTTGTGATTGTAGTATACCCAGGTTTGGTCTCTGACATTTCTGGCCTTTTGTGCAAAGCATTTTGCATAAAAGTGCTGCATTTTACATTTTCCCTGTTATTCACGCATGCTCACACTCAGATGGTGACTAAGCTGTCATACAAGGTACTGGTCTAAGCGTCAGGAGCAGTTCAATGTTCACTGTTTTGCTCCACGACACTAAACCGTGGACAGGACTGAACTGTCAACCCTGCAATTAATGGATGACCCATTCTACCTCATAAGCCACAGTTAATGGAGCAGCTTGCCTCTACTTGCTCTTTTTTACATTGGATTTGATAAAGGTCTACTAGTAGATTGGTCACAGTCCAAGTTTCTCTTCAAACTCCAATACAACCTACCTTTCCTTCAGGTAGTTGGAAGCCCTGGATACCTCATGGACTGGGTCCTGCATCCTCATTTTGTGTGCACTAAAACAGGTTGGATAAAGGTGGTTTATACCACTGCTATCACCACTTAAATTTTGCTGACCTTACCTCAGCTGCAAGGGTGTCTTAAATGCAGTCAAAAGCAGCCCGAACTTCTCTCCTTTGTGTGTCAAGGATGCTGCATTGGACAGAAGGAGAGATGGGTAGGTTGACCTTTCAGTAGTCTTACATTAGGTGGACTTTCACCTCTCAGGACCAGCATTACAACACTGTACTGAAGGACTGTTATCAGTATTTCCACTGCCCATGTACAAAGATGGAGGAAGTGGTTCTCTAATTTGTTGATTGGTATTGTGTTTTTGCAATTTATGTATCTGTCTGGGGCAGCGGGGGTGGTCCAGTCACAGCTGCAAGTGAATAGTCACAAGGGCGGGTATTGGTTTGCAGAGATGGTGACCTCAGGACCATGATGACTTGTACAAAGATGTCAGTCCAGAAAGACAGTGACCAGACAGAAATAGCACAGTTTACTGCTCCGCTGGTTGTTTGGTTAGGATGTGGCCTTCAGTTTGGTTTATAGTATTTTCCCATCATCCCTCTGTGTTTGCTTCTGCAGCAGTGTGTACAAGCTTTTTCCACAGAAGACATTTCTACATGCTTGTCACGGTGGGAACAGTCCAGGTGTAAATAATAACATTAATGATGGCTGAATGCCATCTAGCAGCCTCAGTTTCAGGGTCCTGGTATTGTGTGTGATGGCTCACTGTCTGCGACACTTGAATTTAACTGAGACACTGTTAATGTTATCAGTGATGCCTGTGCTTTTCACAGTCAAAATGTATGTTCATGAAAAAGGCAGATTGAGTTGATTTAATAGAGCAGAAGAAATATTACAATATGTTAATAATCGCATCAGTGTAAATACATCTGTTTATACTGTATATATGACCTTTTAACCATTAATTTGTGTCACCTATCTTTACTGTAATGGTGATATACAGAAATATGCAGTCTCTCTAAAACAATTGCCATGAAAATAAATTTTAGTTTGTAGTATATGTGCATTTAAGCTGGTGTATATGAATCTAAGTTGTAGTGGTGCAAACCTTAACTTGGCTCTGAGGAGACAGTTTCAGGAATCATCTTGTTCTGAGTTCATCTCGATTAGGCAATTATTAACTTTATACTGACACACTTTCACCTCCCTTTCAGACCGTTTCTGAGTCCCTTATTATTCGTATTTAATCGTTGGATTGCAGAAGGTTGAATTTACTAATGTATCTTTGTTTCCCTTTAATTTGACATTTGAACTATTTTCTGCTCAGCTGTAGCTCCTTACTTTTCACAAACAAGTGCATTTGTGTTTTCTGCCCCAGCTGGACTCATGGCTCACATGTGTAAAGGGGATATGGTTGCATCATGTGTTGATGTTAAAGTGTGCTTATTAACACCTTTGACTAGAATTCAGTTGTGGTTTAACCTGTTATTGACATTATTACAAGGTGTGAACGTGTCCCTCTGGTAAACAGCACAGTTATTAACTGTTTGTTTGTTCTATGTTGAATCTAATGTATCCTCTGAGGTACTGAAGAGTTTGATGAGTTTGTTGGTCCTAAATAATAAACTTAACTCATTATACACAGTGTTTTTAAATATTTATTTAAAAAGTGTCAGATTTTATAACTAATTTTACCACCATTTTGTATATTTTTACCACACTACAATATTCTAATGACTGTAATTACTGCCTGTTTTGCAGGATTGGGTTTTGCATCAAAAATCTCTATTAATGGATAATTGAATACACATTTTATTTGACAAGTAAATATGTCAGCCTTTTGTCTAGTGTTCTTTTACTCAGCTCATTATTTGATTAAAGGTTTCTTCTTTCATTGCTGTCATGAGTGGATTTTTGTTGTTAAGAGCTTAGCGTACCTGTCCCAAAACTGAAAGTACACATATACCTCAAATTTAAGGGATCAAAACTGAGCCATAGATTGCACTTTTTCTGAATTTCTATTGGCATTTTCTTTTGGTTACATTCAACAACTTAGAAAGCAGGCTTTATGACCTTCTTTATTTAGACCATCTTAAGATGCCTACATTTATTGTGAGTTTCCTGCTTTCAAAAAGAAGATTCATCCTGGTTTCTCAAGCACTATTGTAATATTTTCCTGTCCTCGACTCTGTTAAACCTTTTAATGAGATCTGGGTTTAAAATCAGTGAGCCTCATTTGACAATACTTTCTTATTCATCAGAACTGTTTATACTCTTCCAGACTTTCCACATTTTCACGACAACCCAATAAACACTTGCTGAAATGACTGGTCCTAGTTGAACAGTACAATCTGTCTCTATATGAACCGTAGTACATAATAACGTCATTTGAAATGAATAGGTAATTCATTATTACCTCATATGTCCATTTTATCCCTAATGTACATAATGACTGATAAAGAGTCATTACATACATTGGTAGCAATGGCTGCATCGTTTGTTGATAATTTCATATACTTAACAACTTGTCTTATATCTTAGTTTAGATTAAGAGATGTTTTGCTGAGACATAATTTATTAAATGCATTTATTATTGAAAAATAATGTCTTCATCACTTATATCTGAATCTTAAACAAAACATTAACTCATAATTGACATCTTCTAATTTATATGTTAGATTAATTAATTTAAAATCATTTACTACCTGCAGCTGTTCTTGTTGTAGCATTCAACATTTATTTATGTTAATTTTAACATCAATAGAATATTCATCATCATTGAATGTCCAATTGTCTAATAAATGCAAAAAATGCATCAGATCCCTGATGTGCTGCTGCCATCTGTTGATGATGAATAACAACTGATGCACAGTCACACTGTGAATGTGAAACTTTAAGCTCTGTTGCAGCTCATCTGTCTAACAACCGAACTGCAGTGACAGAAAGCCTCTCTGCTGCTGGCCTCAGCCTCTACTGGAGAGGATGTTTATTCAATCAGACACTAGATGGCGCTGTTGGTAAAGCAGTTCACACTAATTTAAACTACTTCAGTAATGACTTATGACACTCTTCCTCAAAAGAGACCCAGTTTATAAACTTGCATGAAAAAGACATTCTGCTATATGAACACCGGTTTATGTTTGATATTTTATATTACTTTACCTGGACTATGCCTAACAATATATTGTACTGAGAGGCCTGTCCTGGTTACATTTAAAAGAATACAGTCAGTAACTGCTGCTCACATTATTTGGTGAATTACAAAATGCACAACATACAGAAAACCAATCAGTTATTAGTTTTATTAGGTGAAAATATATTGTGATATAATTGTGATTTAAATTTCATACTTGAAAAATGTATCCCAAATTAATGGATTCTCTGATAAAGCACAATGACTCTTTTTGTACTGATTTTGTTAAGAAAATAAAACATAATAAATAATACTGTAATGACTCACTAAAAGACAATCCATATTACTTCCCACTTTACATTAATACATACATATTTTGAAATCTACTTATTACCATACATCTTGTCTATATTTCAGGCATTTCACTGATGTTCTTACTGATATTCAAATACATTTTGTGTGTTATAAAATCAGCCCTTATTCCCAATCCCAAATGTAAGAAAACAGCAGCCACTGTGGCCTTGGTTTCTAATATGAGTGTGATCATACTGTGTGAGTGGATGCTGAGAAGGAAACAGAACCAAACTGGGACAGATGGGATATTTTTAGAGAGCGTGGATAGGTTAAATTCCTCAGTGAGAAGAGGGCGATGTTGTTCAGAATATGAGTTCTCAGTTGAGGAGGGAAGACACGGACAGTTGTTGCTCCGTTGAGCCAGAGAGAGAGAAGAGAAGAAATGATTGAAGGTCGGAGGGCAGAGGAGAGCTGAGCGGCCAGTACAGGAGCTACTGTGTGAAGGAGCTACAGTGTCTTATGTATCCCTATATCAAGGTTGGAGACATTGTGCCTTATGTTGCCTTCATTTACTGTACGATTCACTGGCCATTACAGATGTGGTCTAGAATAAAGGTTTGAGTTTAACTATAATATGTGTTCTGTGCAGTCTCTAAGTCTTTCCTGTTAAATGAAGTGAGAACCTTTAAAGATCACGAGCGGTGGGCATTGTGATAAGACTGAGATTACAATCAGTAATGAATGAGTGATGAATCGGCCTGCTTTCACTGGAAATCTGTAATTATTTGTAAAAAAAATAAATGTTTAAGAGCTGATGAGGAGCAGAAATGTGGACTTTAACTTTTAAATAAAGCAATTAGTAATTATATTAAAATGCATGGTCTTCATACATTAGGGTTAATGGCTGTGAGAAAACATTGGAGACACAAGGAAGCTCTGTGCTTCTATTGTTAATGGTGAGCACCATCGTCTGTTCGTCTTTTTACTTTAACCACATTGTCTCTGCTCTGCCTCAAATAAAATGTCACAAAAGCTTCGAATCCAAAGTGCTGCTGAACGAGAGAGAAGTTCAGTAGGAGCTTACTCTGTTTATATTGTACATTTTCTGTAGGTTATAATATAAAACCTGATCTTATGATCAAAGGAATCCAGTTACATTTTTTTCACCAGTTGCAAAAAGATACAAAACATTTGTATTTGTTTTATTTTTGGTTTTGCAGACCTGATCCTTCTCTTCACTTAATATGTTGGTCTCTCCCTCGACCTTCAAATGTCAAAACTCACTTTGCCAATTTGAACTAATTTACTACAAAATACAAAATAGTTTTGGTGCTCTTGAATAGCTGTAGCAGATTACTTCCTAGGAAAACTTTTTAGACCTCTAAAACTAGGAAGTTAAGGTCCTTAAATTACAATTAATGACGGTTTGACTCCAATGAACTGTTTTTTTAAATGTATTTTTAAGGAACAAATATGACAAATACATTTTTTTTCCTGTTTAAAATATAAAAAAGAATAATATAATATAATTTAAAAAAGCAAACAAATAAAAAACACATTTCACAAGCTGTGGCAACCTGTGTCAATCAGTGTATTAATATAAAGAACTGATTAATGAGTGGACTAATCATGAAGTAAGGATATATATTTAAAATACCAATTTTGAATTTGTGAAATTTTCAAATCATCAGAAAGTAACAAAGGTTTATGAACATACAGATCTGTACACACACACACACAAACAAACATGCCCACACATTAACATGCCTGGTTTCACCCTGTTTTTCTTCCATACTTCGCGGCCTAATTGATTCTGATTTTAATTATGTTGACCCAGACTCCGTCTCTTCTTCACTGACAACAAAACCAGCGCAGGCCGGCAGTCTGCCTCTCACACTGTGAGGATGACACCTCTGTCTCCTTACAGAGGAACGAGTGGAGGATCCACTTTGAAGTCACTCCCCCGCAAAGGAAAGGTCAAAATAATAAATGTAGGCCCAATTGATGGGTTGGCAGGGGGGCGCGGGGGGTTTCAGTGCTGATTTTTGGACGAGTGCTCCCCTAAAGGCATAATGAATTCATACAGTCAGCCACGGCCAAAGAGGAAAACAGCATGGGTCCTCTTTCCATGAAAAGGTTGATCTAAATCTGCAGACGAGCCTGGCTCCTTCTTCCCACTCATTCTCCAACACATCACACTCTGCTTTCTCTCTCTCAAACATACGCTTGTTTCACACACACACACATACACACACACACGTAATGGAAAATACACTCAAAAGTATCTCTGTCTTTCTCTTTGACACACACCTCTGCATATGCATCACCTTCACTGAGAGAGTTGAACCGCATCACCATGGATCAAAAACCCCTCAGTAAGCTGCTCCACCTAACTCTTCCTCACAGCAAGACGCCTTTGATTCAAGAGTCAATAACCCAGAAATACACAAATGCTTGAATATGTCTTTGAAGATTCCTCAGGTCATCTGGGTCACAGGATATCTGTTATAGGTCAAAAGCAACTGAGCTGCACAGAGTCTGCTGGCCTTTGACCTTCTGTCATCACAAACTCAAACTTTATTTTAAATTGTAGTGAAATTATTTTTTAAATAGTAAAAATACATCAATGTAAAAATACTCTTAATGCTACTTAGGAGAAAGTTCAAATGTATTATCAGGAAATTTACTTGAAGTATCAAGAGTAAAAGTGCTTATTATGCAGAATGTATTGATGCATGAGGAGACTTTTTAACTATTGGAAAGAGGAAATTTCATCTTATTTATATGTTAATCATATGTTTTGTATGTCAAATCTTATTCTATAAAGTAGCCAGGCAACACTTTACTGTTCATTTCCCCTGTAGCATTTATAAGCAGTATGTGATAATAATTTCTAACACACTATAATATAGTTGTAAGCAGATATAAGTGTCTATTAAGGTATATTAACAAATAGAACTCATCCTAATGAATTATTATTGTAATATAAAATGTTTTTTCATATGAGAAGATTAGTTGTTTACACATGCTGTACATCAATACACACTTTAAAATTAACTAAAATTACATCTGCTCACAAATACATTATAGTGAGTTATAAACCATTTAGTAAATGTTTACTGATTCTAAATGCTAAAGAGGGGGAGTGTTACTGTAGCCTGCAGTCAAATAAATGTAGGCTATAAAAACCAGAAAAGGTCCCTCTGTAGTGGAGTAAAGGTAAGTAAATGGAAATATTCCACTTAAGTTGGCTAAAGGTCATTCAAACTACACTTGAGTAAATGTACTTTAGTTACTTTCCTCCACTGTCGTTATTCATTATTAATTCATATTAGGTTTCTCATTATAATGCCTTACAAGATCCTTTTTTCATCCCACTGGCGGCGATGGCCTTCCATAAACAGGCCTGGTGCTGTCCTATAGTGTGGAAAATGCTATTTCTAACTTACACACACATACACACACATTAAGAGAAAATCTAAGGGAAATATTGAGAAATCTAGATGATTAACTCAGTTTGAACTTTACAAAATGTAAGACAATTATGAACAAACCCCAAAATAATTCTAAACACAGAATAAGCTGTTGCATTTGCCAGTATATTTTTAGTTTGGGTAGACCATACATGATCCATTTGCATAATTAGATATGGCTCACTACTACTATGACCTACAATTTATGTTGTTTTCTTCGTTTCAATTGCCTCCTTGGCTTTCTTTTTATCGATCCTATCAGTCTTGTGTGTCCATGTTTTAAATGCAAAGCGCGCCTAAATTCTTTGCGGCTGCTCTAACTGTGTGGTTTATAATTCAGACTCCGACACAAAACCAGACCTCAAGGCCCTGTTTTATTTTATTTTATTTTACCACACTGATGACAAACACTCAGATAAACCGAGATATGATTATTTTCCACAGACGAAACGCAATTTCCTGATCAGCCACAATCCCTGTGAGGGAGCCGCGTTAAGATGCGCATTCACACTGAGCTGCTGCCAGTTTTGCTCCGGAGGACGGAGCCGCTCCAGGCTCAATTACATGCGCAGTCCTGCCGCGAATCACACATCACCACGGCAACCGGCGTTCACACCGAGCCCCCGTCAGCAGCATCAGTGGGGTCCGAGCCCATCCACAGGAGAGCACCGACAAACCACAGTAAGTTTATATCCAATCTTCTAAGTCCACATTTCTGAGAGTATCCGTTCATTTGTGCATTAGACAGATGTGCGTTTGCGGGTACAGAGAGCCTGCACCGCCGCGGATCCACACAGGAGGGATTTTTCTTCCCGTGATCAAGTGATTCAGTGTAGGTAATTCATTAATGCACTTTAAGGGGCAATGAATGGACAAGCATCACGTCTGTATTCGCAGGTTATCGTATGGGACTGTATGTCTCTCTGAATTCCGTAATTTGCGCTGCCTCCACATTACATAAGGCTACAATTAATACGCATCTATTGATTGTCCTCATAGCTTCAGGCTCCGTTAATTAAGCCCGTAACTCATTAAAAACAAGCCACGTTATGTAGATAATGTACAGTGTGAGATTTAGGATCACACAAGTAAAACGGCGTCCGACGGCTATAATGATACTTCATTCAGATCCATAATTAAATAGAAATGAGTTGTTTTCTATCAGTCTCATGTGTGGCTGTAGTATCTCTGCTCTCTGGTCACACAGCCTGTATATCTTGTCGCAGCTGTCCTCAATGCAGCAAGTTAGGATATGCATGAGCAGTGAACCCTGAAGAACTTGAGGGGCATTAAACAGTCCACTCTTACCTATGTCTTCACCTTAGAGAGCTGCGTCTTCCCTGTCCTGCTAGTGGATAAATATGTTAATCTGTGATGATGAATTAAAGTGTACAATCCTGCCATCATTCTTTTTGCAGAGGGTAAAAATGTGTAGCCTATTTAAAAGATGTCATGTGCAGCTCTCATGGAGCTGCTGGATGTGTTGCCTGCCAGAGTGTGGGAACACTGAGTGTTTGACAGCAACAACCGGCTCATTTGTTAATCACAGATTTCTGGATGATTCATCGTACCCACACTTCACTCCAACTGTGGGGAGGAAAAATGGTGGTCAGCACAGATGACCACTTTAGCCACCCACTCACCGCTGTAGCATACTGTAATATTCAAGATCCTTTTTCTTTTTTTACTTGACAAAAGCTGCTTCAAATTTAGAAAAACATAATATTCTGCCTCAGAAGATCCATATTTTACAGGTGATTATTTTGCACCAGAATTGATTGGTTTGTGGGCCTGATCTGCTGTTAAAAAAGGGGTTTTTACATTTTTTAAAAATGTTTAATGAGAGCACCCACTTAATGACAGTAGGTATACTTTAGAGTGTCATTTATTCACAGTGGATGTGTCCGGCGGCTGTATTTAATGATCCTGTATTTTTATTATCAAGAACACATTTCCTGTGCATCAGGGATTTCTCCTGCAGCATAAACACTGTGGCTCTTTGCCTCCTGCTGTGTATCATCATTGTGAGTCACTGGCGTCAGCGGGGCCCGTGGGGTCCTTGGCTGAGGGAAGGTGTTGTGTTGCACTGTGTGAATGAGATAAGTGGATCCTCACCTCTTCTCTCCACATTTAGATGATCATTTGATCGAGGAGAGAAAATATAATCCTTATCAGAGCAGAGAGGTGTTTGGCACCGCGTTGGTGGCGCGTTAGATTTACACGTCGATTACAAACTCTAAAGATAAGAGCTGTGAGGAAGAGATAGGGCTGAGATACACAGAAGTTATGAAACATGTTTACTCTAGACTGTTGGGTTGGATAAACAGGAGGAAAGAAGGCTTCACTGTGAGGATGGTTGGAAAAACAGAAGCCTGAGGTTATTTAATTATGCCCCCAATTTGAGTCCCATAATTATAATTACACTTACCATAACCTCATAGCATTATTTATTTATTAAAAGAATAGTTGGACTGAAACATGTTTGGGGAACACACTTATTCACATTCAAGCTGAGAGTTAGATGAGAAAATCATTCTCATATTTGTATATTACGCTACTGCGAGCAGTCAGTTAGCTTAGCTTAGCATAAAGACTGGAAACAGCTAGCCTGGCTCTGTCCAAATCTAACAAAATCCTCATACCAGCACCTCTAAAACCCACTAAGTTTAGTTACCCATACAAAAAACTGAAGTGTGAGAATCATATCGTGTGGTTTTACAGGGGTTGCGTGTCCGACTATGTCTTGGCTCTGAGTTAGTTGCCTGGCAACGAGCAGGAAGGAAGTTACTGCTCCCAGCCAAGAAATAATCTGACACATAACCTAACCAACTGTAAAACACTGAGTAGTTGTTTCACTTTGGTTTTATAAGGGTACACATTTACTTAGAGATTATGTTTTCAAATGTTGTATTTATAGTCTTTAATTTGATTTGACAAGCTAACAAAGTTTAGCAACAAAGGTTGTACTTTAGCACCGCAGTTCTTTGAGCTAAATGCTAACATCAACATGCTAACATACTCTCAATGACAATGCTAACATGCTGATGTTTACCCTGTTCACCATCTTAGTAGTGTTAACATGCTCACACTTGCTAATTAGCACTAAAACTGAGGCTGATGGGCCTGTCATTCATTTTTCAGGTACTTACCAAAATATTGGACAAATATTAATTTTGACGTGATGATGGTGACCTGATGATCACCGAAGTTATTACAGTTCATGAGGGAAATTAATTGCTATTCCAGAATTCACAAAAAAAAACACAAATGCCTACCTCATGGTGGCGCTAGAGTAAAAGTCAGGGGATTGAAGGTCATTAGGATTCATCCTCTGGGCACCATACAACAGCAAAGTGGTGTACCAAACATCAAACACATTTCTTGCAGAATCAGAAATACTTTTTTTAAATTCTTTTGTTCATTTGGTTGATATTATTCTTGTCCTGTCCTGTTTTTCCTTATCACACTGTCATCTTCTCCACCTTCTTTGGTATCCTGGCTGGAGCTACAAGCAGCGCTGTCACATTTGGTTACAAAGCACAGAGTCTGAGTCAGTTTGACCCGAGTTTTGTGTCTCTGCTCTCCAGATCTGTCTGAGCATTTTCAGGCAGCTGAGCAGCCATGGTGAAGCTGGGCAGCAATCTGTCTGATAAGCTGGAGAAGCAGCCCTCTGCGGACGACGGCTTTGATAACATCCCCCTCATTACACCCCTGGAGGTCAGCCAGCTCCAGCAGCCGTTCGCAGACAAGGTAAGTACTGCCTATTAGGATTGTTTGTGTGTCTGTTTATGTGCCTGCCAACTTATGTTTCTTTTTCTCTAAAATACTACTGACCACAACAAACCATGCATTACAGCATTACAGAAATATCCACCAGATTACGACTGGCTGCAGAACACGTCTGGACAAAAACCATTAATGTGGGTGTACTTATGCATAAGCCCCAACACTGAGACTGTTGTATTTACACCCCTTAACTGCTGTCCCAGGTTAAAACCTTGGCATCAGCCCACGCAATGCAAGCACCTCTTTGAATGCATAATGCAAGAAGAAAGCCCACACAATCATATTGTGGTTGGATGATGCACTCAGCAGCACAGGATGTTCCACAGGCTGATTAGATGTTGCTGAAATATTAACATAAAACACACTTTGTGGCTCCCAAATGTCTTTTTAAGGCATCAATTAAAACTGGCTGCTTTTGCAAATGATGCTTGTGTATTTTTAGAAATGCAAAATAGTATTTTCAGTGGTTAAGTGATAAGATCTGTGCTGAACATTGGGGACAACATCATCCTTCAACCAAACAAAAAATGGCTAACTTTTTCAATGACAAGTACATTGTTTCTGCTGCAGGTCATTGTGAAGACGTCAACACAATATCAGCTGCAGCAAAAGAAGAATAACAAACTGTATGTGCCCAGTATCAAGAAGCTGAATATCAACTTCTACAGTGATGTTTCAGATAAAGCTAAGGTACAACAACAGCCTGATGTCTGGAAATCTGCAACATTTTTCATGAAGTCTGGTCATTTTCTATATTTTTCTTATTGTCAACAAAATCTGTGAAAAGACGAAGAGCCATAGAACTCACATGTAGTCATGCCTTGTTGTAGTTTGAAATAACATATATTGTTAATAGTTTTGTATTATGGGGAAACATTAGAAATGCTCCTTTTCGTCTCATCTGGTCGGAGGGGTGTTTCGGTGCCTGTGTTTGATTGACGGCAGCTGGCAGACTTCCAGAGTGCCGGTGTTACACTGTAGGGAATAAAGTAAACAAATCTCAACCGTAACCGTAGCTACATGTGATGGGCAGACAGCATGTTGTTTGTGTTGAAGAGCGAGAACCACACCAGCATCTAACCGGACTCAAGTGACAATTGTAGGTACGTTTAGATGTTGTTTGTTGTGCTGCAGCTGAGTAGCTAATTAACTATCTAGCCTGCAGTGCATTCTTCCCCAGTGAATGTCTGTTTGAACGGTGCAGGACAAGACATGTGGTCATGTTTGTAAGTTAGATAAGGAGGACACTTTAGCAGGAAAGATGTGGGTTGTTCAGTCTGTTGCTCCTGTGTTGTGTAGCGGGCTGCTGTCTGACTCAGTGTGACATCTTCCTTTATGAAAGACTTGATTGAACGCAATGCAGTAATGATGCAAATGCAATTTAACTTCAGTTGAAAACACAACATCGAGCCAAACCATTGCTGATTATATGCTCCTTCATATATAAATATTCATAAGAGCACCAAATGTGTATTAATCCACTGATGAAAATAGTCCTCAATAATTCCTCTATTCTCCTGTTTGAGTAATGTTTACTAAATACTACAGTGCCCAGCTCTTAGGAAATTATTTAGCCTTTTTTTAAATGACATTTTTTATTTGTTACCTGTTTTTTAATGTTTACTTTATCAGTAGGAACCACTGGGTTGGGTACTGAGCGAACTTGTTGACAATAGCAAAAATGTATTGTCAGGCTTACCCTTTACGAACTGATTACATTTGTTGCTGAAGTGCTTTATCTATGTGTGTGTTTAATGTGTGTGTATGTGTGTGTGTTACTCAGATCACAGGTCTCATCCTCATCACTTTGGCCTTTCTGACCAGCCTGCTCCTCCTGCTCATGTACAAAGCCATGTGGTATGACCAACTTACCTGCCCAGAGGGTTTCATCCTTAAGGTAGGCAGCACACACTAATACATGCACACACACACAGAGAGATGTATAAACATAGATTTATATGATTTATGAAAACCTGAATATCTTGGCCACTATCTCCCCGCAATATAGCAAAGACCGGCAGAAGCAGCTCATCAGAGTCTCGTTCTTGGATATCACAGACGTCTTATTGCATTACCCAGGCCAAAGTAGTCTGTGTGACACCCACTCAGAGGGTACTACACAGTCTACAATGCAGCTGGTGCTTTGTTTCTCGGCACACCCTCACATCACTCACTTCAGGAGGATTCTCTGAAAACTGGAGCTGGAAACCAAAACTCATTATCTCTCAACAACACCTTGGAGGCATCGCGTAGGGAACCAGTGCTGCCACGCATGTTAGTTAAAGAGCCTGTCTCGCAGAAGAAAATGAGAGAGTGGGAGAGACAGAGGGAGAGGGAGGGAGAGAGCTTGCTTTCTGGTCAGGCAGAGATTGGGACGCCTGCCTGTGAATCGGAGGGGTCTTTAATTAGGGCTGAGCGTGACTAAACTGTGATTAAAGGCTTAACAGTGAGGGGGGAAGCAAGGAAGGGAAGGGGGTAGGGGGGCGGGGGGACCTTCCGGCAAGGCTTTTGAAGTTTTTGCCGGTTACAGTTGCTTTCAGCATTTTTTCCTGCTAATGCGTTGTTGGAGACATAAAAAAAGGAGTGAGGATGGAGGAGGAAGGAGGCATAGTCACTGCTGTGCTTTTGAGAGGTTCGACTCCTCTCTTCGAGGGAAGGTCAGGTAGTGAATCCTCCGACGAGAAACACTCGCAGGGTCATCACAAACTCAGTGGGCTCTCTCCAAAACATAACATTAACAGGATGCGAGTTCAGTTTGTTTGATTTAATTCAGCCGCGCTGTCTCGAACGCAGCTTGACTCTCCTCACAGACAAGTCAGTGTGAGTTTAAAGATGTTGCAAAAGGATGCTTTCTCCTTAAGTAAAGGCTCTTCCTTAATGCACTTCTCTGGTCCCAGCTGAGCCTGGCAACCACAGTGTATTAGCACTGTAAATCTTTAACTATGTTTGTGCATTAGGTTGAAGAAAATCTTTTTTTAGGAGGCATTTTAACTTCCTTAACCTGATTTGTGGAAATAATTGCGGCGCATGTTAGTGAAAGAAAAGCTCTCTTTGTACTGTCCCTCTTCCATTTGTCTCCCACTGCTGCAGAGTGAACATTCTCACCTTGTTGTTTATTCTTCTCTGTGGATTGTGGTCCCTGATTTCTGTGATGTGTCCAAACCCTGCACTTTCCTCATTCTTCCCCTTGAAAAACTGCAGTTTGACAGAATAATCTCAACTCAAGGTCAATTCACTTTAAAGTTGACAATGAGCTAATTCCATCTGTTGAATGAATACTGTGAAGTATGGTTGAAAACCCCAGAAAAAATGCTAGTACAGTCGATGGACCTTGAGTTAGGATTCTTTTTTCTAATCTTTTATTTGTTGTAGCTGATTCAACCTCCTTCTTTTGCCCAGATGCTTGTTGGGGTTGGATGCCACCACGTGTCCAAACCTGTATAATTCCCATGATTTTGTCAGTTAAAGTAACAGTTGTTGTCTGTTGTCTCTGTACACGCCACGGTAGTCTTGTTGTGATGTAATTACACATTTACTTGACCAACCATGATTGTCCACACTGCTAGCGCCAGCTGAAAGTACTGGGATTCATCAATTTCAAGCGATTCAGCAGGGCCGAAATTTAGATTCAGGAACGTTTCACCACAGGGACAATCTCTACAACCTTTGCAAAATACAGGAGGGGCCTGTTAATAAACAAACGTTATTTTTTTATTTTATTTTTATTTGTCAGATAAAATGTATAAACATTAGGATCGTTGCTGTGTCAGAGTAAGACGACTTAAGGGTTGTAATCTCTTCTCTTGTGTGGCTACCAGGTGGGAACACTCCACTGTAGCTAACATGTTTTGACTCATTTTGGTGCCCGACATTAGCAACCTTGCATATAGCAATTCATTTGCAATTTCATTTGGCAAATGACAACACTGGTTTAGGATGGGTAAGATGTGGCAAAATAATAAATGACTAAATAAAGTCAAATTCATTGGTTAATTTTTCTCTTTTCATTGACAACCTTTCACTGCTGTCCTCACTTATCATTGCCAAGAGGCAAATCCAGTCACAACAGCCCTGCACAGATCACTGATAGGCAGCTTCCCAAGTAACAGTCAAGGGACATTATTGAAGATTTACTAATTGGCATAAACAAACATTCCCAGTGTGAGTCAGTTTATTTTTTATTGTGAATTAGAAAATGGTCAGCCACAAGGCGCCCTATCGCAGGCCAAAAAAGTGGAGTATCATTGCTCTACCTAACATGACTTCTCCAGTCCAATAAGATACGATTAATTGACCCATCAGCAAATACAGTAAAATAAAAACAAGGTGAAATGACTTCACCCTATGGGATCATTTCCAGCGATTTCACCTTTTTTCAACAGAGACTCAATGAATAAATGTATCCTTTCAGTTAAATCAATCATTATTAATAGAAATTATATGTCATATTATAGCACTTTTTCACCTTAATGGGAACAAAGATATTTTTGTCTTTCTGTTGTAACAGCAGAAGCACTGCACCCCGGCAGCTCTGGAGATGTATTACACAGAGCAGCAGCAGCAGCAGCAAGAGCCAGGCCTCCACAGCAGCACCAACACTGGGCTGTATGCTGCCCTGAGCCACCTCAACCAGGTCAAGAGGACTGGGCCTGAGCTGCCACCACCCTGGTTACCAGTCATCAGCGCCCTGAAGGAAGCTGAACTGGCCAAACAAGGCAGTGAGCCACTGAAAGGAGTGCTTGAGGGAGAGGAGTGAATGGGCTGATGGAAATGCAGGTGTTAAGAAGAGAAAGTGATGATGGGGAGGTAGCGTAGGTTTGTTTTTTGACTGTGTGTGTGTTCAGGATTTTCTTTCTCCCTTCCCTCATACAGTCCATTAAACCACTTACTGGTGCTTCAAAACCTTAAAGGTGTCTGAATATCTACTGAAAAATTCAATCAGCAAAGTAAAACAGTTTGCTCAACTTCAATCCAGTTATTATGTTAATATTTAATCCAAACTAACACCCAACTGCAGTGGTGGTGGTGTGTGTGTGTGTGTGTGTGTGTCTGTGTGTGTGTGTGGTGAGTTGTTGAGGTTAGAGGCAGGAATGTTATTAAAGTGTTAAAGAATGTGCCTGATTTTTACAGTGTTACTGAGTCAAGTAAGTTTAAGCCATCTGCATTGTGTATGTGTGTATACACTCATGTAAATAATGTACGCTGTAACTGCTCTCATACATGTACTGTATGCGTTTTTGCATTCATGTGCACTGTGTGTGTGTGTGTGCATACATTTCTGTACTTGTCTGAGAAAGTTGGAGGTGAGAGCAATGTGAGAACGAAGTAAAGATAACAAGTTTTTAATGAGATAACTGTGTGTTTCTCCTCATCACTCTGTCTTATCTCACTGTCTGTTCATTTAGTTTTAGAGGAGAACATATGAAATCATCAGTGAATGTGCTCACAGTTTAACCATTAAGACAAGTAACCATAATTGACCATTTTAATTTTGGCTCAAATTAGTTGATTCCTCATCTTATTATCTCAAGACTGTAAATTGCAGTTCTGTGTCCTCGATTAAAGTCAGAGGAGTGTTTTTAAAGTCAAGTGTTGCACTTAGACTTCACATTATTTGAGTTACACAACCACAAGCATGCTGGCTGTTCTAAAACTGTAATCTCTGAAAAATTGGATTAAAAAAATCTCTGAAACTGAAAAGTTTTTTCATTATGGGTTATTGTATGTAGAATTAATTGGCAAAAAAATGAATTAAATCTATTTTGAATTTAATCTATACCACAATAGTGTGCAGGAAGAAACAGGCCACTGTACATCTCTTCATTTGAATACTATGTTACATTATAATGTGAGCTACTTACTGTAATCATGGATAAAACTTTTAAAGAGCTTTTAAATTATAACTACAAAGAATCTTAATTTCAATAATACTGTATGTGAACTGATTGTAAAAACTGAGTTTTGTTACTAAATGTTTTTGCCTCATGTTGCTGTAAGTATTGTGTAATGCGCCTGTAAATGAACATGTACAGGGTTAACTCATCATGATCATTATATGAATATATGAAGTAGCTGCTCTATTCATGCAGTTGATGAAGTAAGTGCTTATAATCTACTACCTAAAAGCTTCTATTGTCTTCACATGTTTCTATTTATTTAATTAACAGTAGCAGTTATTTAACAGTATTTATGTGTATATTATTTGTTGTTATTTAAACGCTAAAGTTGTGTTTGTTAAGTATGAAGAGTTCTTTTCCAATTCATTTCACTTTTTTTCTTTAAAAATGGATGTACAAATATTGTTTTTCTTAAACTGTCATTAGAAAATTACCCACAATCCTCCAAATCCTCCCAATCTTGTATTTTGTCAAAATGATTTGCTATTACTCATTTTGAGCTACCTTTTCTCTTTGTCTTTCTCAAAAACATCACTTGCGGAGATCTTATTTTGGAACAAAACTCTTCATGTGAGTAGGACGAAGGTGAGATCACAGCACAGCTTGTTCCTTTGGGTCCAATGTGCCAAACATTTACATCAGACACCCATCTGCTCTGATGTCGCAGGTCCAACAAAAATAAATGACTGAAGTGTTGAGTTCTCTCATTCACAACTGTTGATTTGGATTCATTGCTTCGAATGACCTGAACTAAAGTATTGGCGATTAACAGAAAACAGTCATCACATGTTTTAGCCTACAGGAAACTGATCTTTATAGTTTGTAAGCTCATCAAACGTCTTTCTTTGTCAAATCTGTGAAGTAACTAACTTTTCAGATAGATGCAGTGGTCAAAAATATCAAAGTACATTTACTCAAGTACTTCAGTACAATTCTGAGGTGCTTTCTACATTTAAAGTAAATTAATACCACACTGTTACACACTTACATTAACTCAGATGGGAGACGCACTCATGTCCTTTACTTAAATAAAAGTAGCAATATCACACTTTGAAAGTAATCCATTACAATTGAATGTCCTGAAGTCACATCTAACTTGAGTAAAGTACACAAAACGTACTTAAACAATCAAATGTAAATTGATTGTATTATTATATCTAATTATTTTTTCATAAAAGCTTTTACATGTAAGTAGTATTTTAATGTTATAGATAATTTTGGTTGGACATGATATTTTATTATACTTTTTAATCTGTAGAGAGTGTAGAGTAGAGTGAATACGCCTAAAGTGGAACACTTTCTGATAATTTAACTTCTACATCATTTTAAATAATGATCCAAATGTCTTAGCCCCTCATATGATACTATTTTAAATAGCTTACAAGCTCTACTGTCCTATACAGAATTAAAAAGACAGAAACATTAAACACTTTATGAATGATTCAAACACACATTGACCCCAAACCCCATTTTCCAGGCGTTATACTGTCAAACTGGGACACTTAACACATTTGATGTTATTCAAGTGTATAAACAATAGTATAAACAAAACAATATTAATAAATATCACTTTTTTAAATGATGGCTGCAGGTACTGCAGATTAAGATCAAAAATACATAAAGAAAGATTAAATTATAAATTTATAAATTATAAATTATAATTCATCATTACATTCCATAACAAGATTAGAATTACAAAATATACAATAGTTACAGAATACAATATTTCCCAGTAAAATATAGTGGTGAAATATCCTATAAAGTAACTTAAATACTCCATTAAAGCACATAATTGTATCACTGTACTTGAGTAAATGTAATGTTATTTTCCATCACTGAATTTATTCAACAGCTATGTACATTGTGGTTATTGTACTTTACAGATTAAGATAGAGATTACAACATAAAATATGATTTGTTGCTGTATTCAGTTACCTACCATTATATAAAGTAAATGCTGCTTACACATCAAAGCACCAATAATAAAAATCAAACAAATAATGATGCGTCGCTTGAATACAGACCATGAGAGGGAAAAATGATGCAATTATAAGAGATCTCTGTGAACTGGGTTTCTAAAATCCTCATGAACTGCAAATCCGCTGCTGAGCTGCACAAAACTAAAAACTCTTCTTTAATCACCTGAACTACTTTTTACCTTGACTTTTTTCTTCCCCCTTCAAATAAAGTGATACGTCAGACTGAGAAGTTACTCGTCATACTCCATTACTTCATGATTAGATTAGATTATTATGTAACTGCTTTCTGCCACCACAAGCAAAATAAAGCATCATCCTACAAAACGTACAAGCTGCTGCATTTCTTACTGGTAATTCACAATTATTGACTTGAAAACAAACCAGGGACATCAGGATCCATCAGGATTCATCAGGATCCATCAGGATTCATTATCAGTTACTTTCTGATTTTCCCTCAATCGCTGTACAGTACAGATAAGTGTTAAGTTAAGTGTCCCCAATGACAGGGGCAGCTCTGTATAATGATAACGTTTACTTTTGATACTTAAAGCACATTTTCTTATAAAACTTGTAAACTTTATTATGGGAACATTTTGAATGGCTGTCTTTTATTTGCAATGGAGTATTTTTATTAGTAATTTGAATAGTAATAGTAATTTTAGTATCTATTACTGCTACTACTCAAGTGAAGGATTTAGATATATCATTCCTACTCTTCGAGCTACACAAGGCAGAAAGAATTCAATACAAAGGGTTTTGTGAAATATTTGCTATTCAAGGTTACCAGCAGAAGCTGAATGTACAGCTGCTGTTACACTCTGTTGCTCAAAGATGATCAGTATGCATAGAATTCAAAATATGATTCCTTCCTCCTCAAACTCTAGTTTAGCAATTCAAAGCCAAGCCACATCCTCTCTCTCTCTGTTGGGTTCACTGCTGTGAGCCTGTCTGCATCTCATTTACACTCACATATTTTCACACCATCGCTCCAAACTCAGGGATGTGTGGCTTGAAGTGTGTGTGTGTGTGTTGCCTTGTTAGAAGTGTGTGTGACTATGAAATCATTAACTTACAGTTATGTGTGTGTTTGCTAAAGTTTTCGTGTGAGTGTCTTCATGTCTTTCACACGTGCGATCTTTGTGCTTCTGTGTCTCTTAGTGAGTGTGTTTATGCCTTGATGTGTGTGTGTGTGTGTGTGTGGTTGTGTGTGGTGGAAGGGAGAGGAAGCCGAGAGAGAGAGAGAGAGAGAGCCCATGCTTAGCTTGTTAATTAAATCTACATTACACCCTGTTTAGCCTTTAGGGTTTTTTTTTCTCCCCACTGTTACTGGGTGACATACTTTAGACGCTGTTGGCCCAAGGCATGGAACTGAATAAAGTGCTAAAAAATATTTATTAGGGCATTTACAGATCCCATGCTTGGTCAAGGCATGGCATGTTGTGCCAAAAAGGCTTAGAATCAGGGCCCGGGGAAAATCACATAAAATCAGCCGAGTAGTCATGTAAAGGCCTCCAAGCCCCATTTTCCTGCTTTATAGCATCAACAGATCTGAACAGTAAAATCGCAGGTTGGCTTTTTAATTTGTCCTGACCGTTCAGAGTCCCCCCTTTCTCCAGCGTTCCCCCTGAAGACTGTGAGGGAGGGCCAAGAGTCATTTAGCCGTTAACATCCCACTAGAATCGAATTCCTCCGAGCCCTGATGTCACTCAAATATTGGAGAGGAGGGAGGAAGTAAGCTTTGTGGTGATGTATGTGCCTGATTCTGATGTTTTATTTTGATACAGTGTGTGCTAACAGTTTGAAATCAATTTCAATTAAATAAAAATACTTTGTGGTGATGTAAGTACTGTCTTTTCCTGGTGTATTTGAAGCTGACGCCAGCATTTCAACAACAATTGTAACAAGATAGTAGATCTGTGATTGGGAGGAAGAAAGAAAGGAAGATGGAAAACAAAGGGGGGAAGGTGTGAAAGGGTGTGAAATTTTGAATGTCCTTCATGTTTACTTCCTACTTACTACCTTAAGGGGTCCAATGTGCAACATTCATCAGGGGATGGCTATTGGCAGAAATGCAACATTCACAGGGTTTCGATTTCATGTATAAAAATGTCTATACAAACAAAGAATTTGTTGTGTTTTTTGTTACCTTAGAATGAGCTGTTTTTACAGAGGGCTCGGGTCCTCTTCCACAAAAATAAACACCTAAGTATGAAATAAACATGATCAGGAAAACTCTCTGATGCAATAATCACAGGAAATAATCTGCTCAAAATAGATCCATTGCTCATTTTAAACAAACTTCCTGCAGTTATTGCGTCATTGTTCAGTTTATCAGTTGTTCTGTTGTGTTTTTGTTGTGTATTAAATATAATATGAAATATCCATAAAATGTGTCACTTAGTCAGGGGTCAGAAATAGACATGGGCAGAAGACAGGACACCACCATTTTTTGGAGTGACTTTACAAAAACATTATTCACTGGTCATTATTAATAACCCGTTAGCTGAGGTAGTGATAACTGGTAGACAATTATTTGCATTTGATCTGAACCTTTGATACACTTTTTTCTTTTGTTTTTTGCATCAGGGGTGAAACCAAGAATAAAGCTCATATTGATTTTATTTGCAATGACTTATTCTGCACTTGTCACTTCTTCTTATCATGTTTTCTTTGACGTACTTATCTTTCCTGCTCCGATTTGTCTTTTTATTTCCATTTAATCCAATTTCAAATTATCTATATGTATATATTTATACATATACATATATAAATAAATATATATATAAATCTATATAAACATATTTGATTGTTGTTCATATAAATAAAACAAATGTTTTAAAAAATAAAATTAGAAATTGACAGAAATAAATCTCACTGAGTAAAATGTAAGACATATTTTAATGAACGAACAATATGGCAGATATTAGATGAATCTTTGTTTCTGCTCAGAGTATACATGTGATCAGTCATGTGATCACTTGAGAGTTGCTTTTAAATGTTATTCCCACACTTAACTCGAAAGTATATAAAAAAAAATTGTCTTATTCTTAACATTGAACCTTTTTCACCCCTAAATTATCTCTTTAGAACCTTTTCTTAGAAGAGGAAGAGAGAAAGTGAGGAAGAGAAAGGGAGACAGCAGAGAGATGGAGGGAGAAGCAGAAGAAAAGATGAACAAGAGAGAAAGAGCAGATGAGAGGCGGCCAGGCCTGGGAAGGGAAGGCGGGGGGTGAGGGTTTGGGCAGAAGAAGAGGAGGCGGAGGAGGCCAAGAGGCATGGAGGTGGTGGTGGTGGAGGAGGAGGGTGAATCCAAGCTGACCTCTGTGTCTGTGTGTGTTGTTGTGTGTCTCAGTGGGTTTCCTCTGCCCTGGCGCCAGCTGGAAATGCCTCCACTAAGCAGAGGCAGTACACACATCATCCTCCATTCACCCCCATTCAGTCCCCTTTGATGAGAGTAACACTATACATGCCCACTGCGCCTCACAGATCCTATCAAGCTGCTGTTTAAAGGGCGGGAGCGAGAGCCGGGGCAGCTGATCATAACTTATCGAGTGTTCGAACGCACTGTCATCCAGTTTCGCTGCCCTGCGGAGCAAATAAAAGCGAGGACAATTGAGGAGGTTTTGTAATTGAAGTGATGTTGTTGTTACAGTGGTGGATGTTTCATGAGGTACGCTGCCACCTAGGGGTCATCTCCCATGGTTGCAGAGAGGAATGTGGTCTGCCCTCTGCTTATTTTGAACCACTAGTTTGATCAGAATTTAAGTGGATTATGTTTTCTTTAAAGCCTTTAA